TGAAGTCAGCGGCCGCTTTGACCTCAACCTTTCTCAGGTAAGTTTTCTTGGTTAATGGTTAATGGTTAAAAGCAAGATAAATGTGCTAGACATCTAAGGTCATGTAGCACTATAGTTAATGTTAGTGAAGGGTGGTTGAGTTAGTGATTAGTTGTCTAAGCTGGGCAAAGGAATTAGTGAGTGAAAGGGTTAAGGTCAGGTGTTATATTAGATAAAGGGTATGCATAAGAAAGGTTTCTTGAAGGCATACAATAGATGGGTTATAAGAGGAAAGGATATGATGGCCAGGTCTGTGGGAGCGGAAACCGCGAATATTCCAATGAAGGATAGTTATACTTTCGTTGATTTAGTGATATAGATTGTAGTACGTGTTGGAGAATTTGAAGGGGAAGCAGCTAGAGGGTGGGATAAGGACTGAGAGGTTTGAGATGGGAAAGGTGTGGGAGTTGGTGTTCTATCAGGAGGGGTAGTAGGAGATGGAGGGTCTGAGGAAGGGGATACTTGTGACATAAGGGATTCACGTGTGTATCCAGGAGGGAGTGGAAGGGATAGAGGGGATGGTGGGAGAGTTAATGTGGGCAGGGTCAGGGGGGATGGGCTGTGTTGGGAGGGGGTAGGAGGGTAGGGTGTAGGGGGGATATCGTTAGGAGGAGGATGGATATCAGCAATTACTTGGAGTGTGGAAGGAGCAGGAGTTGTAGGTTGAGTGTCGGTTTTCATTAAGTAATCTTGAATATTTTCAATAGTTTCTTCTGTGGAGTTGGTTGGGGAGTTTTGGGGGATAAAGGATTTCTTGTGAGGGGGGGAAGAGAGGACTGGTGTCTCAAGAGTACGGGCAAAGGATGGTGGGGGTGATTGTGTGGTAGGGGAAGAGGGGGTGGAACGTTTGTTCTGTCTGTTACGGGGAGTGCGAGGAGGGAGAGGGGAAGGTGTTGGGGTTGTAGTGGTGATTGGAGTATCTGTAGTAGAGATTGGAGTTTCTGGATTTAGGATGGCAAAAGAGTTTGACTGGGGAAGGTAGGTGGGGTTAGTGGGGGGGTTAGATGTAGGAGGGGTGGGTTTAGGAGAAGTGTTAGGATGAGCAGTATTACTGGAGTAAGGAGTAAGAGAGAATCCACGTCGACGTGCTTCCTGTCTGGCTTCACGCAGTGTGAGTCCGAGTTTGAATCTGAGAGTTGCTACCTCAGATTCAAATTTGTAGGTGGGACAGCCCCTATAAAATACATTATGGGGGCCGCCACAGTTGGCACATGTGCGTGATTGTGCAGAGCAGTTAGATCGGGTATGGCCAGGTTGGGCACATAATGGGCATCTGGCTGTGGAACGGCAGTGTTTGGCTGGGTGTCCTAGACGCCAACAATTTTGGCACTGACGTGGAGGAGGTTGGTATGGACGAACAGGGAGGGATTCTCCTCCTATGTAGACGTTAAAGGGAAGGTCATGTCTACGGAAGGTAATTTTGGCTATGTTAGTGGGTTTCTTTCGATGACCTCTGGGGGGGATGGAATAGCATTGTACTGATGTTGCATCGTAGTCTGTGAGACAGGCAAGTAGATCTTCTCCACAATCTGACCATTCTTTGTCATAGATTGGGCAATTTGTTGGTGAGATTGAGACTGTTCCGGTGCAAGTATTGAGGGTTGGATGGGGTTCTGCTAGGATGGGGTTACCATATAGGTCAGTTAGTTTTGTTAGTGCTATGGCTTGGTTTTCGGATGTTACTGTTACAAGACGGGAGCGGTCGGGTCGGCTACGGAAAGAGACTTTACCTACTTGTTTTTGGAGGCATTGTTGGAAGAGAAGGGTGTTGTTAGAGTAGGGAGCTGTGGGAGGGATCACGAAAAGTCGGTCCCATTTGGCTGCACTGAAGAGAGTATTCAAGATTGTTTTAGAGATAGGGGTGGTAGAAGGGCGAGGGCGTGACGAAGATGGAGTTGTGTTGATGGAGGTAGTGTTATGGAGAGGTGGGCTATAAGGCTGTAAGGTATTAATAAGGGAGGATGGGGTGGTTGATGTTGGAGGTTGTGGGGGTAGAGGTGTTGAAGTTGGGCATGCTGGGAGAGTGGAAATGTCCCTTGAGGGTTGATTGTTGGCTACTGTACTAGTAGGCATTGGTTAAGGGGTAGTTATTGCAGTGTTTGGAGCCGTGGTCAAAGGAGAGCCTGGGGTCGGGGAATCGGGTGGGTTTACTTCGTTGGGGCTATTTGATAAAGGGGCAAGCCTCATTGCCCCTAACAGTGGGGATATATTTTCATTACTGGCCATGGGAAGCCTGGATTATGTTGGGGATAAAAGCAGTCCACCCCTCAGGGTCCCCTTGAGGGGTAAGGGCTAGATAACTAAATCAGGGGAGTACCGTGCCCATGGCTCCCTCAGGCCGTTCAGGACTGGCACAAAGTCAGCCTTTCATCCTTTCAGCACGGCTCTCACACCTTAGGAGGTGGATAGCAGAAGGGTTTGGTGAAGGGACAGAAACAAAAGTGGGAAGGGAAAAAAAGACCATGCATAATTAGTTGAGTCGAGGGCTGAGTCCCAAGGTTGGGGAGTTCCCCATCATTGGGTCCCAGTCTCCGCCTCCTAAGCCCCCCCACGACAACAACGGGCAAGGGATTGGGGGGGGGAAGTTTTCTTGGATAGGCAGATGCGTAGGTTCTTTGTGACAGACGCTGAAAAAGGTGTGAGTGAGAATTAATGATTCCAGTACATGTATATCAGACGATATTTTGAGATCGACGTATCAAGTCATTCATCTTGCCTTGCGCATCTACTTGTTCTTATGAAATGAAGACAGATCTAAAAAGAATTGTATATTTTAGATAATTTCCGTTTCGATTTTTCCTCCTCTTCCCTTCCCTTAACAACATTACATTCCCTCCATTTCATTATTCATCTCCCGCTTCATCTCGGCAGGTTCCTGGTGATTGCAGATTCAAAGTCTTTATACCAGCGGCTGGTGAATACGACGTCGAACTGGCCTATCGAGTACCAACAGCGCCTCTCCTTCGAGTACTACAACGTGTGGTACCCTCCGGGACGGGAGGATATGCGCAACATGTTCCGGGTGTGCGCCACGGAGAGGCTCTTCCTGCCGGACATGTTCCCCGACCTGGACGCGGCCATTTACATCGACACCGACCTCGTGTTCCTTCGTCCGCCGGAGGACCTGTGGGCCGAATTCCGAAAGTTCAACGATAGGCAAGTGGCTGCGATGGCACCTTGTCTCTATCACTATGGCTCGACAAGGAACAAGGTGAAAACAGCGTTTGGTGCAGATTTAGAAGTTTAGTGAGAGATACCATGGCAGATACTAAGAAATAGACAATAGAGAGACAGATAGACAGTCACCCAGTTAGTGTTAGGTTAATAAAAGACAAACAAAGAGAACAGGTAGAGAGAGATTTGCGCGTCCATAATCTGAAGGTAGTTATGACATAATGATATGGAATTTACGAGCTAGTATGGCAAACACTGATAAGGAGTAAGACGAATGAGAAGGATACAAAATTGTCTATTATTTATCATCGCAAATACTCTCGCAGATCCCCTTTTACGGGTCGTCGGGCCTCAACGCAGGTATCATGCACATGAACCTAACGCGCATGAAGAGCTTCCCGGGAGGTGGCTGGACGCCGGCTGTCATGAAGGTCTTTGACAATTTCAGACAAAGGATCAAATTGGCTGATCAAGACATGCTGAACATCCTGTTTCATAAGGTAGGAGTATTGGACGTTGTAGGAGGGAGGAAAAGAGGGGCTGATAAAATGTCATCCGTCTTTCTCTTACTTCTCTTCTCTTTTCTCTTTTGCAAGAGTTATGTTTTATATCACCTATCAGTACAGGAAACAGGTCTTATTTCCATATTGCATTATCACACATTATTTCTCATTACAGCATCCGCAGAAGCTTTATGAACTGGGGTGCGAGTGGAACTACCGCGTATGGCAGTGTTCTCAGGGGAGTAACATGTGCCCTCAGGCAAGCACCAACGGCGTGTCCATTCTGCATGGCAACGCCCTTGCTTTCGTCAGCGGTGCGGAAAGGAAATTACAGGTAAGAAGTTTATTATTGCACTGTATTGGTTAATGATTACACAACAAAATACATGTGCTAAACATCAAAGGTCGTATAGCACCATAGAAAAAGGTAAATAGAGGGTTAATTAAAGATTATATGTGCTACACGTCAGAAGTCGTATAGCAGTTCAGGAAGGTAGGGATTAGCAAGGGCGAGTTGAACAAAGCTGACAAGGAAGATGTATGGGAGTTTGCAAAGATGTCATAGAGTAAGGTAGGGATTAGTAAAGGAGAAAGGGATATAAAGGCAATGAGATCACAAATTCAGTAAGAATGTCAGGAGGGTTAGGATCCAGGAGAGGAGGCAAAGGACAAAGGATTACACCCAGGGGGAAGCGGGAGGGATAGTGGGTTAGGAGGGTGAATAATGCGGTTGAAGCAGGGGGGGGGGCGAGATGTGTTGGGAGGGAGTGGGAGGAAAGGGTGTAGGGGGTGGGACATGAGTAGGAGGCGGATGGGTGTCAGCAGTTACTTTGAGTGTAGAAGGAATGGGAGTAAAGACATTGGAGGATGGTGTATGTTAACTTGGGTCATGATTAGATAGTTTGGAATGTTTTCGAGAGTTTCTGCTGTCAAGTCGGTTGGAGAAGTCTGAGAAACAAAGGTTTTCTTAAGGGAGGGAGACGTGGAGGGAGAGGTTGGTGGAGAGGATGGGGTAGAAGATGGGATGGAGCGTTAAGCTTGTCTTGTGCGATGAATTGGGTGAGGAGGCAGAGGTTTGGGTACTGGGGAAGTAGTGACTGAAGTGTCTGAAATAGTGGAAGAGAATGCGATATCTGGATTTAGAATGGCAAAAGAATTTGACTGGGAGAGCGAGGGGGTAGAAGTGGGATGAGGAAGAGATGCTGGGGGAGATGTAGAAACATCTTGGGAGGAAAGGGGAGGGGCAAGTCTGAATCTGAGAGTTGCCACTTCAGACTCAAACTTGTAGATAGAGCAGCCCCTTTTAAATACATTATGGGAGCCGCCACAATTGGCACATGTGCGTGACTATGCAGAGCACTTTGATTGATTATGACCAGGTTGAGCACATAGAACGGTCGTGTGTGACAGGATGGTCTAGACGCCAACAATTCTGACACCGACAGGGGGGAGGTTGATATGATAGAACAGGAAGGGATTCTCTGCCAGTGTAAATATTAAAGGGGATGTCATGTTTACGGAAAGTAATCATGGCAATATTTTTGGGGGACTTACGACGGTCTCTAGGGGGAATGGTGTAGCATTATAGATACTGTATCATAGTTCATGAGGCAGGCGAGTAAATCCTCCACAATCTGACCATTTTATGTCGTAGACAGGGAAGTTTGTTGGGGAGATGGAGATAGTTTCGGTACAAATATTAAGGGAAGGATGAGGTTGGACAGGGATGGGTTTACCAGTGAAATCTGCCAGAGTTGATAATGCTTTAGTTTGGGCTTCGGATGTAATTGTGACGAGACGGGAACGATCGGGAGTAGTAGAAGGACGGGGGCATGTGGAAGAGGGAGTAGTGTTGAGAGAGGCAGTACTGTGGAGAGGTGGACAGTTAATGGGGTAGGATGGGGTAGTTGATGTAGAAAGTTGTGGGAGTGGAGTTGAAGAAGAGGATGTTGGGAAAGGAGGGATGTCTCCTGGGGGTTTAGGAGTGACCTGGGTGGATGATGTGACAACAGGGATTAAGGGGGGGATAGTATTCCATGGACAGTGTTCAGAGTCGTGGTTAAGGGGGAGCCTGGAGTCGAAGAACCAAGAGAATTTGAATCAGTGGGGCTATTTGATGAAGGGACAAACCATATTGCCCCTAATAATGGTATTAAGTCTTCATTATTGGCTATGGTAAGTCTAGAGTATGTTGGGGAGAGAAACACTCCATCCCTCAGGGTCTCCTGGAGGGGTAAGGGCTAGACAACTAAACAGGAGAATACCGTGCCCATGGCTTCCCCAGGCTGCTCATGGCTGGCACAAAATCAGCCTTTCATTGTTTCAACATGGTTCTTACAGCTTAGGAAATAGATAGTAGAAGGGAGGGAAACGAAAGGGGGGAGGAAAAAATACCGTGCAAAATTAGTAGGTGAGGGTGATTCTCAGCATGGGGTGGGATTGTATTGTACCATATGTGACTACATCTTCTATTCTGTTGTTTATTTTTTATTCTTTGCGTACGGATAATCGTAGGTTAGAAGTCTATTTTATAAGAGCGTTTCCGAATTTTACTGCAATCCCAATTCAAAGCTGCAAACCAGAACTGACACACTAATCAGTCTCGCTCTTTAAACCACTAACCAGCAAACCAATATTTCGGTGTTTGTTTAATTACATGTATTCTTTCATATATACACAGGCGGTGTTCGATGCATGGGAGCGACATCAACTAGGAGATTCACTGCGTGGTCTCTTAACCTCACTCCAGGAGGACCTCGCAGAAGTTAGTAAGAAGGGCTTGCAGTCCAAATGTGCGAAGATTTCTAACATTGATGCTATCCTAACTAAGGAGTTTGAGAAACATGTATAGGGAATTTCGGAAGGTAGGCAACAAAAAGCAACAATGAATGAGTGATTAAAGAAATGGTATTGATACTGACTGATGTTATGAAATAAGCAAGGTGTTTATTTTTTTAAACGATAAAGTCTTCGAAGTATTACATGTTTCGAACTTTAAAGCTTGGACTTTCATATATTTTTTTAAATCCCACGCTGTGTTGACAATATATTTTAATATAATTATATGATTAATGTTCTTCCCGTCTATCTATTCAGTAGATTAGGTTCAAAATATTATATAATATTTCTTTATATATACAATAAAAGTAAAGATAATACACAAAAGAACATAAAGGTAAAAAAAATAAGCGTGCTACACAGTTTTCACAAAACTTTTGGAGTTAATACTATCAGACAAGCAGTTCAAGGTACGTACTGTAATTACATCGATTTAACATGATGCCAAAGACTTGCATGAAATATATATCCCATCTCGATAAACGACATGCATAATCCAAACCACAAGTCAACATTTCTTCCTTCTAAATTTCATCAGTTATTCATTCACTTTCGTATAAACTCTGGAAGACGGTTTTGTCCCTCGTGTAGGCATTTCTTCCTCGATTTTTCAGGTTAGTCGGAGTTTTACCCTCGCGTGTTGAGGTCTTCCGATATTTTTCCCTTTATTTTCACTTGCTGTTGCCGGTCTTCGCTAGATTTAAACTATAGCTATTGAGCCTGCTAACCGTCTCATTAGATACTGTGTGAATGGCTTCATAGAATCGAGCATCTGGCCTAGTAAATTGTGCAGGTTTAGGCGCTGTAAAAAAAATAATAAATCCATTGCTGCTACCATTTTTATTATTGTTAATGTTATGTTAATGTTGTTATTAGTATCATTATTATTATTTTCATTTTTTTATAATTATTGATACTATCATCATTAAATATAATAATCATCATTATTATTATCAATCATCATCATCATCATTATCAATCACCATCATCGCCACATTACCATCACCACCACCATTACTATCATCACCATCACCATTACTATCATCACCATCTTCGTGAGCACCACTACCACCACCACCATTACCATCATCAATTTCACCTAGAGAGCCTGTAGATCTACTATCGACGATTGCGATTTGCGAAGTTCTAGCTTCGCCCGGCCTGTGTCAGCTTTTTATGGCTGTCTCATTTTGTTCTCGACACTCGGTGCTTACCGTGGCGGTGGGATTGCCAGCAGGCGCTCCTGCTGCCATGGTGTAAGCGAATCGCAGTCTCTTTACCAGCACTGCGGCTGTTGTCGGCTAAAAGATCACAGTTTTATTAGTAATATGGATAATTGATAGATAATAATGATGACGATAATGATGATTTTTGATTAAGCATTGATATATTGAAAGTGCCAAAAAGAAATGGTGAAAATTGCCTCTCTCATCCTGTACATACACGCTCATTGATCCTTCATGGCTTATGACTTACCCCGTGTGTTTGCTCCTCTATTTTCCCTGACCCACCAAAATCATACAATCTCCCGCTTTCTGTCCTCCTAAATTATTTCCTTTGTAGTGCAACCTTATGGTCTCTCACGATCAAGAGTTTACCTTTAAAAAAAAATACGTTGGTAGGCTGCCACTGTCCGAATGAGGGATCGGAACCCATGTGTATGCGACACAGTAGAAGACGTGTAATTTAAAGTGTATGTGTGAGCGTCAGCCTGTGTGTAAAAGTGCAGTTAAACCCATGTGGGACTGACTGAGTAGGCGTGGTAAATTTCAAGTAGTCCTTCATTTATGATGTATTATCTATTTATGGTTAGAGGCTGCTCTCAAAACCAACTTTCATAGATATATTCATCCAAACCTCTTATATTCGGTATACCTTAAGTTCATCAAGACTTGTATTTCATGTTTAAAATAGTCTATTCTTTAGTGTAGAAAACTTATTGAATTATTATTGTTAAATAATAAAATGTCCAAGCTTCATTAGGATTTTTATATTTCTACAATAAAAGAAAAGTTATTCATGTTTGTATTTTTCCATCCATAACCTTCCATTGATCCTTTAGAATATTCATTTAAAAAGAATGGTTCATTTGAAAGAAGAGACAAAAAGTCATATTTATTAAGCTCCGATAAACGGTCTCCAGCGTTTTTTCCCCTCAAAGCCACGACCCATAAAACAAAAAATATCAAAATTGATTCTTAAAAATGAATGGCAAAGGAATAGGAGCTCATGGAGTCGTGTGTGTTGCTTTCCGCCGGGCTCCCCAGGACATAGGTGGTCTCTCGGCATGGAAGCTACAGCTTTGGTCCTTCCGACCAGTGAATGAGACGACAGCTTCGCCCGGGTCTTCCAATATAAGTGGCCTGCTTGTGTCAATTATATGATTCAGCAAGCTATATGATGGTCCTCGTTTTCTTATAGGCACGTAGCTGGCGTGATCCGCGAGCCCAGCGAATCACACCTTGATCATGTCTCCACTCATTCCTCCAGTATTCATTTTTACACTGATGGTTCTAAAACCCTCTCCGATGCTGGCCTCGCAGTATTATTGTCCGCCTTTCGCCTTAAAACGTACATACTCCCTTATCTTGTACAGCATCCTATCACCGCCAGAACTGGTTGCTCTACCTGACTACGTGCAACAAATCTGTCCGGTTTGGCTGGGTGCCCAGCCATGTCGGAATCCCTGGCAATGAACAGGCAAATACTCTAGCACGCTACGCCTCTTTGACCACATCACACCAATCCCGTTTCTAACGTATTCCAGCCACGGATTAATACCCCCACTTTAAGACCTACCTTCTTGCCCGCTGACAGTCTGCCAAATCTTTCACCAATAACTTACGTACTGTAAAATTATTAGTCTCCTCTTGGTCAGCCCTATTTCATCAGAACAGACGCTGGGAGACGGCTCCTGCATGCTTGCCTATTGCCACTCCTACGCACTCGTTTAATGTCGGCCCATATGTAATGTTTCTTTCAATTCCACACTATTGTCCTATCCACACTTTACTGCAGCCTGTACCTCTGTCTTCCCTCACCTATTCTCCCTTCCCCCACCCCAACCTATCAGACATCCTTACTGAATCCCACACTTTCTTTCCTCGGACGCATACATATTCTTAACTAGATATAATTCCCTCTTTGTGTATTCCTACCTTAACCCATTTACTCATCCTCTCCACCTTTACCCATCTTTACTCTTTCCAATACCACCCTACTGCTGATGTGTAACACCTAATATCAACTCACTCCCTCTTTACCCTTTCCGATACTATACCTTCTCATAGTGTTACATGACTTTTGATGTCTAGCACATTTATTTTGCTTTTTAACCATTAATCATTTACCATTTTGAGACGATGCTTGCAGTTCTGTTCTCTCGTTGATAATCCCTGTCTTCTACCAGGAGCTAATTATCCATTAACACATTTCAGTCTGCATAATGTGGTAATTTGTATGTGGGTTTATACAAAAATTAGGCTAATTCTGCTCTAGAGCAACCTTAATTTCCTACACAGTTAATATTAAGGTCATTAAAATTTCTAGGATATAAAAAACAAAAACAAAATGCAATTTACACCTCACTATTTGCCGATTTCCTTTTGTTTATTTGGTTAATTCAGAGTGAGCTAAGACCTTTCTTGGGAAAAAGGTAAATTTTGATAAAAAAAAGTAAAAAATGAAAAGGGTTAAACGTAGTAGGATTGATGATGGTTGATGATGAAGGTTGATGAAGACGATGGCTGATGTTGATGGTTAATGATAATGGTTAATAGTGATGATGGCTGATGATGATGGTTGATAAAGATGCTGGTTGATGATGGTTGGTGATGATGATGGTTAATAATAATGATGATGGTTGATGGAGATGATAGTTGAAGATAATGGTTAAATGATAACAGTTGATGATGATGATGATGGCTGATGAAGATGATGGTTGATGATGAAAGTTGATAATGGTGATGGTGGAAGATGGAGATGATGGTTGACGGAGATGATGATGATTGAAGATGATGGTCGATGGTGATGGTGATGATGAAGGTGAAGATGATAGGGAACAGCTGTGCGGCAGCAGCAACAACAGTTTCTTTTAAATAATAAACAATAAAAATTGTCAGTAAGTAATGCATAATAAAAACACTGTGACTGAAGCTGATCATCGATGATGATGATTGATGATGATGATGATGATCATAATAATAAAAATTATGTCAATAGTGAGTATTATTCTTATTACTAGAATTGTTTGTGATGGTATGAAATTATTATTATTAATATTGTTATTATTAACATTAATAATAATAATGATTATATTATCATTCTCATTATTATAAATGTAATTAATATAATAAGGATTGGTATAGCTTGCCATAATACAGTCACCTTCACATTAAAAAACATATATCATAAGAAAATAAATATCCCCAACAAATGAAGGTTAATGAAACCGTTCCATAAATGCACATTTTATTATAACAATGATGGTGTGTTGGTGCGCAGGGCGCAGGGAGGGGCATGGGAAGCGTTTACCGAGGGAAGGAAAAAGTGTGTGACAAGCCGCCGGGTCTCCACTAACAAAGAGGGAGAGCTATGAGGCTTCTAAGACTTGGCTAATTATTATACCTCTTTCATTACTGCACTATTATATTTTCTTTTAAACTGACAATTTACTCATAATTTACAAAGTTACACTATAGTCCCTACTCATTACTCAATAATTTTGTAGATAATGAATTCAAGGTTTACAGTACATTATTACATATCCCTTGAAAGAAGACAATACAAGGATGTTACTACAGTAATACTGCCATTTATTACTTCAGGATGCAGTAAATGGAAAGCATATAATTCACTTAAAATGTATCAAACATTACATAATAGATGCATGACTTGTTCTGATCATTCAATGCCCATGTGTGCATTTATCAGTATTCTAATATTAATGGATAAGCAGAGTGCACCTTATTTTATCACCAAAATACACTTGTTTTATATTACTTGCATAAAAGGTTAAATATACTTCGCTTAAACAAAATGACCTTTACAAAAATCATCACAAATAATGCAACAGCAGTATAATTACTCACCCACAGTGTAATAAATGGAGGTCTTCCTGCATAGACAAAAAAAAAGAAAGAAAAAAAAAGGCACAAACAATGATAATCTCAATGACAATCTTCTCACTGATAACAGCCATAAATGATGGCAATTATAAACATTGAATTCTTTCTGTGTGGGCATGTCTCAAGAGCATCAGGTAAGAGTGGCAAGACAAAAAGGATCACTAAGGATAAATATTTACAAACTAGATTGAATGTACACGAGATAAAACAAGAAAACCACCAAAGATGATGAAAGTACTGACTCCAAACTCAGAAAAGTTACATCTCTAAGTTATGTCCACATATACTTGGAATGTTAAAAAAAGTAACTCATGACATTATCAATGAGAAAAGATTCATCACTTCTCATGCATTTCACAATGTTGACCATGAATAACCTTTTTTATTTATTTGGTGTGTGAATATTTACATCATGCCTTTAAAAGAAAAACTTCATAACCATTACACAAATAATTTTGTATATACCTTAAACATGTATTGAGATACTGTAAATGAAGCTTACTTACTGATATAACATAGTAAGGATCATTCAGATGATCAAAGACTGTTTTGTATATACACTTTCAATTCTGCCTTTGCACTGGATTCCTCATTTCTGCTTATTTCCAACATTACACCAAAGCAGTATTTGAGATTCTTACACATTCAATGTGTATCATTTATCATTCTAGTCTTACCCTTATTTGGAAACAAAAATCACCTTGAATAATTCTTTCATAAAAACACTTATAAAAATTACATATAATGAAAACCCTGATATTCTTACTTGTGAAATACAAGGGGACTGAGTCTTTCTATTACAAATTGAGAAATTGTCATTCTATCTTCTACAGAATTACTTCACCAAAGGTGCTTATCAATTCAGCTCATAATCATAATCACAAATATAAAAATTTGATTTCATTCCAAACTGAGAAAAAATAAAGCATCACAAGTTAATCTAAAATTATACTTGGACCTTGTTAAATATACAAACCATGACTTACCATCTCAAAACAGAGCTCTGCATTAAATATTTACTAAATACTTCATGATTCCCAGTATTAGATATACAGCCCGGCGGCAAAAGTAGCTTAGGAAGAGAGAGCTTGTAGGGTTCCACTGGAGAGGATGGTGTGAAGGGAGTAAGTCATTGAACGCTTCATACCAGAACTTTACATACCAGCTTGCTATCTCAGTCTTTACAGTCACAAGCAACACCCACACTACACGGCCACCATAAAGCAATTCTGTACAGCAACTTTTCTACTGCTGTGCCATGTAAAAATCATTCCTTATCATTAATCTGTACTTCTAAAGCCTTACAGTTTTGGACCTAGAATGAGATACATGGTATTCATCGGTAATGACACTGAGAATAAAACAAGGGTTCCTTGTAAATAAACAATAATGTGAGACGATAAAGAGTATGAAAGGAAGGTAAACAAGTCAGTCAAAAGTCAATAAAGACTGCAGTGGAATGTAATTCTTGAGTGGTATATTTTGTGTCACTGTATGTCAGTGCTGTCCAACCTAAAACAAAAATCCAGATCAAGAAATTTTGAAAATTCTAGCTGGAAACAGGGTTCCTAAGGTGTCTTTTCAATTTGTGATTTACAAAGACTGGGTGACAGAAATGTTCTTGCATACTCAGAATACAGAAACTCTTTCCTTTTTCTACATCAAGAGCAGAAAAGTCTACATGGAACTTTCCGTGCAAGCTGGGCAAAAAGATGAAGATGAGGCACATGTCATTGCAAACTGGACAGTTATTCCAACTGCTGCCAGAGAGCATAAGTTATAAAATATTTGCCTGTTGCACCTAACTCTTTTATTGATGCAGCATTCTGAATGCCAGGTGACAGTACATCAGATTGGACAGCTCTAAAGATACACTGGGGTTTGTTGTGCACTT